CCATATTTGTTGGAGGGGTATTTTTGTCCGCTGCGCTTGTTGTGATACCCCAACAGTAAAAACCTTACACAGCTAAAACTAGCCTCTATAAAAACCTCTCCTCTTTTGTTCTTCAACACAAATTCGTGTCTTGTGCTCGTGTTTATCTGCCTGAATCAAAAGCACGCCCAACAATGGTAAAGTTTGCGTTTCCAAATTCCTTTTGCTTTATTATTATTATATCCCTCAACAAGATTTTATCTCGCATTGCATTTGATTGTGATTTTGTTGTATACGGGTGCTTGATGTGTTGTGACTGATCCATTGTTTGCCGAATTTGTTGATTGAGCACTCAAGATAGGTGTGGATTTTCGTCAGATCAGATGATAATTCTTGTTTTATTACTGATTTGATCCGTGATTGATCTGATTTGTGTCGAATGTTGCTCTTTGGTCGTTGGTGGTTGATTACTGAACTGAAGTAATGAGAATTTTGTGAAAATTGTGTTGAACTCTGGTAATATAGTCGAGTTCGACTCGTGTCTGCCGAAATAATGGAGCTCAAAATCGTGGTAGTTGAGGATGGATTGACGTGAAGATGTTGGTTCTCTGTTCAAATTTGATTTGGTGGAAGGCTAATCTTGGATTTGTGAGATATTGTTGCTTCGTTGTACGTGATCTCTGTAATTTCTTTTAGTTATCGAGATTTTGAATTGAACTTGAATATTTATTTATCTTGATTTATGAGTTGAGGAATGAAATAATTCCGAATTGTGTTGAACTCTGGTTGTGTTTACCATGATTGTCGAGCTCAAAATGATAGGTGATGATGGATTGACGGGACTCTGTTGGTTCTATGTTCGATTTGGATTTTGGAAGGCTAATTTCTCATTGATGAGATAATGTTGCGTTGTATGTGATCAAAGTAACTTTTAATGGTTATCAAGATTTTGGGTGAATTTGTATCTATCCCAAATGACTTTCGCCTTTTTTTTTTTTTGTGTGTGTGCACATTTGGTGGTTGATTGATTTGATTACCTCTAATTCATTTGGTTTCTGAGTGAGTGTGTCTCAATCTTGTTTGGTCTTTTGATTATAATTGTGGTGGTTGATTGCCATGGTTGGTTGTATTATTGATTGCTATTTTATTTCTCTGCAGTTTGTTTATACATTAGATTTCTTTTCCTTTCGTGTGACCGTCTTATTACCCCTGATTGTTAGATGGTCTGCTAAAACTAGTAATAAATATTTCATTCACCAATTAACAGTCGTGTGGGATTGATTTGTAGGCAAACGCAGCATCTGGTATGGCCGTGCACGATGACTGCAAGCTGAGGTTCCTGGAGCTGAAGGCAAAAAGGACTTACCGATTTATTATCTATAAGATAGAGGAGAAACAGAAGCAAGTTGTGGTTGAAAAAGTTGGCGAGCCGACTCAAAGCTATGATGACTTTTCTGCTAGTCTTCCTGCCGATGAATGTCGATATGCTGTCTTTGATTTTGATTTTGTGACGGCCGAGAATTGCCAGAAAAGCAAGATTTTCTTCATTGCTTGGTAATTATCTGTACTCTACCTACTGTTTATACCACCTATGAGTCAGTCAAAACATATCTGCATTTGCCAGAAAATAGGAGTTTTATTTAGATGTTCCGGAAGCCCCTTTGACGTATGCCTCTATTTTGGAAATTGCACCAATATATCTCACTCCTCAGGTATTTAAGGTGGCAATTTGGGCAGCATATGATTGGATATCATGAACATGACATGAAATTATATGGTTTAGACTGCTTTTATGTGTTAAGGATGTTACAAGGCTGGTGCAATAACTAATTAGTTTCATCTACAAATTTTTACTCAGTTCTGGGGACAAGGCTGATGCAATAACTAATTAGTTTCATTTACAGATTTTTACTCAGTTCCGGTGTTTATAACCTATATTTTATGATTGATTATTTGGAAATGAGTCTAATGGGCCTGACAGTGTTGATTATATAAATTTGATGCTTTTGCATATCGTGCATATCGTGTCGTGCCTTATGTTCTTTGCGTTTATCATGTTAAATTAGAATTAGAGTTTAATATCCTGCAGGCCTAACAACATCCGGGCATGAAAGCCCTGAGGGCATATGGAGTTTAAAAGATAAACTTCATTTTTATTGGTAATTAGGTTGAAATTTATAATTGGATATGTTGGTTTATTTGCTTGTTTGCTCTTTCCATTGAAGGTCACCTGATACTGCAAGGATCAGAAACAAGATGATTTATGCGAGTTCGAAGGACAGATTCAAGAGGGAGCTGGATGGGATTCAAGTTGAATTGCAAGCAACCGATCCAACTGAAATGGGCCTCGATGTTATCAAGAGCCGTGCTAACTAAGTGAAAAGGTTTCAGGCGTTTTGCTGCAGATTTGGTCTGTGCAGTGACCTTTTTTTCACTTGAAAATGGAATATGCCTATGGCTGCAGATTTGACCTGTGCTGTGACCTTTTTTTTTTTCTTCTTTTTTTTTTTTTTTCACTTGAAAATGGAATATGCCTATAGTTTGTTGGGTTGTAAACTTGGATTTGAGTGTTCGTCAAATATTTTGATACATACTGTTTCTCATATTTTGTTGGGATTTAACGTTATTCATGTACTTTAGATATTGATCGTCTGGTGTTCCGTTTGTAATTTGCTGAGCTACAGAGCTTATATGTAACAATCTGTGAGGGGTTAAGCACTCTTAGCCTGCTTTCAGCATTGAATGGATATGTTTTAACTTTTGGTTTTCCTTTTGGATGCAAACTTGAATGCTTTTACCTTCTGTCAACTATCTTGAGCAGTTTTGTTTATGTTGGTAAAAAAAAAAAAAAAAAA